AAAAACCTTGTTGAAACGTTATACATTTGCTGTTATGTTAAACTTATATTAAAGTTTTTTCGTTATTACTCATTCAAGCCGTCTCCAAGCATTATGATATCTGCATACGTTTTCTTCGAACTGCTGTTATTGTGGTGCTAAGTTTACCAATTTGTTGGCCAAGGACACACCACAAAGAATATGACAAATTTAGATATTTAATAAGAACTATGATATTTATTATGGTAGTTGGGTTAAAAATCAAATATGTATGTATCCACGTGTCAAATAAATAGATACTTTTTAGAAAATATTAAAATTCCATTAAAAATGTCCATATCTTTGGAAAGTCCTCTATTTTATCTCAGCCGAGAGTTATCCTATTTTGATTCATCTTCTAGCTTTGTATGTATGTCCAGCTAACTGCTCCCTCAGTACTGGACAGGCAGACTCGGGGTGGCCCAGGGATTGTTCTTATCTATAAGGTGTATCCTATATATGAAAGGGGGCTAAAACGTGCCCAGAAGGCCACCCAGACGTAACGGAGCCTAAGATTAGGTTTACAGGGTCGCGGAACCTGAATATAGTATCGAATAGTCACTAACAAGCTGCATTCTGGACTTTATTATGCTTGGTTAGTCACTAACAAGCTGCATCCTGGACTTTATTATGCTTGTTTAATCGCCAGAAAGCTACATCCTGGACTTTATTATGCTTGGTTAGTCACTAGAAAGCTACATCCTGGACTTTATTATGCTTGGTTAGTCACTAGAAAGCTACATCCTGGACTTTATTATGCTTGTTTAATCGCCAGAAAGCTACATCCCGGACTTTATTATGCTTGGTTAGTCACTAACAAGCTGCATTCTGGACTTTATTATGCTTGTTTAATCGCCAAAAAGCTACATCCTGGACTTTATTATGCTTGGTTAGTCACTAGAAAGCTACATCCCGGACTTTATTATGCTTGGTTAGTCATTAACAAGCTGCATTCTGGACTTTATTATGCTTGGTTAGTCACAGCTTCCTTCTTTAACTTGTTTGAAATTACCTATATCTAAAATTCAGATTCTTAAGCTGCCAAAATTACCACCTATCATAGTCTTCAGCCACTAAAACTACCGGATTTATGACATACTTTCTAATGGTGTTGCCCCCCAGTGGCACAACGGTATGTCTGCGGACTTACAACGCTAAAAACCGGGTTTCGATACCCGTGGTGGGCAGATCACAGATAGCCCTTGTGTAGCTTTGTGCATAATTAAAAACAAACAAACAATCTAATGGTGTTTATTATAGTGTTAAGCTACACATTGGGCTATCTTTTTTCTGTCTGCTGCGAGGATTGAGCCCCGCAATTCTGGTGTTAGGGGCCCTCAAGCTTACTGCTTAACTACTAGGGGACTTCAAATAGTGCAAAACTAAACTGACAATGGTAGCCTAGTGGAACATCACATTAAGCTGGACCACTGAGCTAAGTTCATTCAATGCTACATGACATATCTACATAACTTTACAGTAAACATGGCGCCTTGTGACGGAGCTCTGAGTTTCAGAACTGCTGATCTGAGTTCAAAACCATGAGACACTACAAAATATTCCCCATAGTTTAACTTGTGGGTGCATTATAATAGTGAAAGTCAACCCCATACCGTGGATGGTAGGGTGACGCTAAATAACTGCCTTTCCCTCTGTTCAGTAGTTCAAAATTCGCGACTTTGGCAGATAGCCTAAGTAGCTTGGCCACAACAACAAAATACAAATAAAATGCTTTCCTTCTGCTGTGCTATTTTTCCAGCAGTCATGGCCAGGACTAACTAAGGGTCTGAAATAAACACCACAACAAAGAGCAACTTACAGAAATGTAGTACGGGACCGCACCGTACATCACCTACCCATCTTAATTAACATGCGAGAAAACTTGAATTTTTCAATGTCCTCAGATTGGACGTAGTAAGGCACTCATCAAAATTACTTCCCCTTTCCGCTAGAGTGCGTGGTACGTGTATTTGTAATTGTTTGTTGTCCATGTTTTTCTAAGAGAAAGATAACTTATATATATATATATGTGTGTGTGTGTGTGTGTGGTTATTTATT